CAGGTCATGATCTCACAGTTTGTGGGTTCAAGCCCCGCATGAAGCTCTGTGCTGGTAGTTCGAGCCTAGAGCCTGCTTCAGATTCTGTGTCTCCCTCTCTCCGCCTGTCCCCGCCCCCCCATCTCTCAAAAATAAATGAAACATTAAAAATATTAAAATGTATAGGTTCTTTCATCCTCTTCCTTTCCTGATAGTTTATCTGTTGAAGAACCTAGGTCATTTGATATGGAGAACTTCCCGCAGGCTGGGTTTTGAGGATTATATACTCTTTTTGCAAATAAAGATATTCCTTTGTATTTCCTGCAGATTTGGTGTGGAGTTTCATCACACTTAGGTCCAATGCCTTTGAAAAGAATCCGAGTGATGTATTCTTTTATCAGGACTCACATAATATCTGGTTTTTGTTTTTTCTTTGATGTTAGCCGTTCTTGATTCATAATGCCTTAGATTTGTTAATTCACTGGGGAATGTAAAATGGTGATATGCTAATTCTGTCATTTTCCTATCTTAGCTGGAATAATATTATAGAGACATTTCCCCTCATCTACTGTTTGATTACCTAGAGGCACGATTCATCAGGCAGGAGATTAAATGCTTTAATCTTTTATTTAATGAGTTTTCAAGAAAGTGCATTGGTGACCTGTTATTAGAAGTTGACCTTTATTTTATTTTATTTTTTATTTTTTTTAAAATTTTTTTAAATGTTTTTTATTTATTTCTAGGAGAGAGAGAGAGACAGCGTGAGCAGGGGAGGGTCAGAGAGAGAGGGAGTCACAGACTCTGAAACAGGCTCCAGGCTCCGGGCTGGCAGTCAGCACAGAGCCCGACGCGGGGCTTGAACCCACGAACCGCGAGATCATGACCTAAGCGAAAGTCGGATGCTTAACCAACTAAGCCACCCAGGCGCCCCGTATTTTAAAAAATATTATAAATGTATAGGTTCAGACACATTTGATGGGTTTCAGTCTGTTGCAAGTGTTATTCTTGTTAAAACTAACTTTGCCCCCTCTTTGGCCATTGGCAGCCTTATCCGGTTAGCCACTAAGTCATATTGATATGATTCTAAAAGAGTGTTTGTAAACGTCCTTGCCTCCTGGTATGCCAAGATATTTCAGCCTCATCTTGTACATTTCCTGCAACAAACCAGGCATAAGCCATTTTTTTTTTCCCGGAAGCACATATTTCTTTTAATGGGAAATGATAAGTCAAGACCACAGTCTTGACCAAGGGGGCATCTTGGTGGCTCAGTTAGTTAAGGATCTAACTCTTTTTTTTAAATTTAATGTTTATTCATTATTCTTAAGAGAGAGAAAGAGAGGGGGAGAGAGAGAGAGAGAGAGAGAGAGAGAGAGAGAGAGAGAGAGAGAGAGAGCATGACCAGGGGAGGGGCAGAGAGAGAGGAAGACAGAATCTGGAGGCTCCAGGCTCTGAGCTGTCAGCACAGAGCCTGACACGGGGCTCAAACTCGTGAACCACGAGATCATGACCTAAGCCAAAGGTGGACACTGAAACCAGCTGAGCCACCCAGGCGCCCCAAGCATCTGACTCTTGATTTTGACTCAGGTCATGATCTCACAGTGAATTCAAGCCCTGCATCGGGCTCCACGTGCTGACAGACAGTGCAGAGCCTGCTTGAGATTCTTTCTCCCTCTCTCTGCCCCCGTCCCACTTATGGTCTCTCTCTCAAACATACATACATACATACATACATACATACATACATACATACATACATACAAGACCACAGTCTGAACATCCCTTAACTCTGCTCACACCTTAGTAAATAGTCCCTGGGCGGGGCGCCTGGGTGGCTTAGTCGGTTAAGCGTCTGACTTTCGCTTAGGTCATGATCTCGCGGTTCGTGGGTTCAAGCCCTGCGTCGGGCTCTGTGCTGACTGCCAGCTCAGAGCCTGGAGCCTGTTTCAGTCTGTGACTCCCTCTCTTTCTGACCCTCCCCTGCTCATGCTGTCTCTCTCTCTCTCCTAGAAATAAATAAAACCTTAAAAAAAAAATAGTCCCTGGGCAAAGCTTTCCTCAGTTACCCAGCTTGAGTTGCTACCTAACCAATACAGGGTCAGTGTACTTGAAACATCTTCATTACTGGCATTGGGACAGATAAATAATGTAATAATAGCTAGGGAGATCCTGGGAAAAAATAGTGACCAAGAATGTAGAGAAAAGTTGGAATGTTTTTGTGTTCTATCAAATGGTTAGCTGGACATGGAGATACCTTAAAGCTGACTTTTCTGTAATTCCCTAGGAGCCTGAGGAAGATTATGCGCTTCATATGTTCATATTTTTATAAGGAAATAGATTTGCCACAGTGGACTTGGCAGACGGAAGACAGTGTGTAATGAATCTGGATGTGCTGTATAAAAAATTGTGTCCTTTTCCATCTCAGAGACACCTGTTACAATCAAATGGTGCTGACAGAAGATTCCGTCCACCAGGTGTTGCTGAGATGTGGAATTTTAGGACCCAAGTAACGCTGACAATGTTTTGTGCAGATTTCACATCATACTTTCTTGCTAGCCATAGTTTCTCATCCCTGAGGTCTCTTACAATGGAGTCAGAGAGGTGTTAACTTACCACTGGGAAAATAAGGCAGTGAAAATAAGACAATTAAATGGATTTCTCTGGGAAATAGCAATATGCAGATGGAAGTTGGGTTGTTGTTTTTTTTTACATTCATTTATATATCTTGTAAATATGGAAGTCTTTTTGGATCCTATTTTCCGCCAACGTTTTATTACATTTTACATGCATGCAGAAAAGTTGAAAGATTTGCTGTGCTGAATGTCCACGTACTCACCAGTATGGATGGACAGATGTGATGAAACCAGTAGAGCAAAACGCTGCCAGCTGGGTCATACGTTAACAGGAAGATTCTCGGGTAGAAATATCTTACCATATATTTAGACGTATACACGCACACATGCACAACCGCTTACTAAAAGAAGACTGGAAGTTTTCCTCACATAGTAGGTTTTCTGACACTAAACTGTCCTGTCCACTCCTGGCATAAAGTCTACTTGGTGTTGATGTGTTCTTATTTCTTTAAGGCACACCTGGATCCAATTTGCCAATGTTTTATTTAGGACTTTGGAACCTTGATTTGTAAGTGAAATTGACCCCTGGTTTTCTTTTTTTCTGTAGTGTCCTTGGTTGCTTTTGGTGTCCTTGATGAAAGAGGAGGCTTGTTTTAATGCTTTGGGGCACTTAATCTTTATTACAGAGTGACCTGTTCCTCAAAGTTTTGCCAGAACTGGCCAATAAAATGGTCTGGGGCCTGTACCTTTAGGAGAGATCTTTGTCTTTTGGTTTTCTTTTTCGGTTAATAATGGGTTCCTTTTTTTTCGGACTTTATTTTAGGCAATCTCTATTCTTCTAGGAAATTCCCCATTTCTCCTAGTCTTTTCTCTCTCTCTCTTCTCTCCTTCTCTCTCTTGTCCATGCTACCCCCCTTTGTTTGCAGACCTTCTTGGCTAGCTGGGCTGACTCCGCCTTAGGCTCTGAGTCGTAGCATTGTGTTCATGGCTTAGGTCTTCTGTGACAGAGCCCTGTTCTCCCGGCCGACATCTCTGCTTGTTCTTAATGGTGTGGCAGGTGTAGGGAACCATGCCTTTTAGTTTGATGGCCTGGGCACAGCCACAGGTCCCAGCATACTGAACTGCCAGTCATAGGAGGGACTGGGGGAGGGAGTGAATCAGTCTGTGGCCTTTTGACCTTGTAGTGGAATGCCATGTCATCGTTTCTCGGACACCCCGACATCCCTCCTATGTGGTCTCTCCCTACCCTATTGAACTCAGAAATGCCCACGTGTCTTGATTTGTGAATGAGCTATGTCCGAAGTTGTCACTTTGGGTAGAACTGGTAAGAGCGTGAGTAGCATTCTCCATCTTTCATTTCCCTCTGTCATTCCTACTGACCGTGCTCCAAATAGAGGTGGCCCCGGCAGCCGTGGTCCTGGAGTGAAGACGCCTTTGAGCACAGTTGCAGATGACACATGATGGACATGGAGCCAAAATGAGAAAGAAATTTCTTGACTCTAAGCCACGGAGATTTGGGAGGAAGCATTTGTCACTACAGAATAACCTGGCCCATCCTGACCCCTCCTCCCCTTCGCTGTGAGTGTCCTGTCTTCTTCAGGGGGAACTCAGAGCCCTGTGGACATGTGCTTGCTCTCAGCATTTTCATTTAGTCCTTCGTTCACTAGGCATTACTGTAGGCGACGCTGAAGGGAACTGGCTTTGGAATAAGAATTCTGGATTCTAGGCTTGGCCCTGACACTTCATGGCTATGATCTTAAGGACACATCAACCAACTTCTTAGTACCTTAGTTTACCCCTCTGTGAGATGGAAAGAATAGTAGTGTCTACCTCTTGGCTATGTTGTGAGGATTCCTGAGCTCTAGACAGTACTCGTTTTTAGGCCTTAGTATTCCTAGGAGCAGAGGGCTCTATCTATCAGCTTAGGCTAAGCTATACTGCAGTGACACGCGACCCCCAACTCTCAGCGGCCCACACAGCTATCTAACCTTAACCCCAGTCTAATTCCTCTTCCTTCGTAGGTCAACTCTGGTTCTGCACTGTGATCTTTTACAGTAGAAACCAAAGGCCCTTCTGGGGACATGCTTCTCTCAGAACATGAGTGATGGTAGAATCATGCTTAGAAGTGGCACGGTGGCCTTCAGTCACATTGCATCAGCCAAAGCAAGTCACAAAGCCAAGCCTGATGTCAGGGGCAGAGAGGTGCTCTCTTTTTATAGAGAAATAAATAATCGGGAACAGCGGTAAAAATCTACCACGAAGGCCTCTTTTATCCTAGTCTCTAGGATTAGTGAAATGACTGAGGTGTCTTTCTTTGTACAAGAAGCTTGTAATCTAGTAAAGGTAGTCAAATAAATGGAAACATTGCAACATGCTGTGGGTAAGGCGAGATGCCCAGGTTGGACAGACGAGGCAGTGACCGTCTCTGCCTGTGGAATTAGGGGTTGAATCATAAGGGGAACCTAGCCAGCCTCCAAAGGGTACCCAGCAATGAGGCGACTGCAGTCCTTGGGGCTAAGATCCCAGATGGGGCATCTTGAGTTGCGTCTGATGGTAGTTTAGCTTCAACGCCACCTGCCTCCCTTGGGACCACATGAGTGGAGGATGTCCTCTTGGGTTCATCTGAAGACACAAACACACCGTACTGATAAGGCCATGTGATAAGGAAGGTGGGGGCTCCCTTCAAGTGTCATTGTGAGGCCTGGAGCATGACCTGAAGGAGGAAGAACTCAGTTGAGACCCCGAGTCCTCTGAGTTCAGGGACGTGGGATTGACCGCAGCTGGAAACTAGGGCCAAGCAGTTGGGGGCTGAGTTCTGTATGCTCAGATTGGTCTGGGAGGAGATATTCTGAGCCTGTTTACCCACAGGCCTTATGCCACATCTTCACTCTACTCCAGGGGACAGAGACATGGAGTTTGAATCTGTGGTGTGAGGGTGGGTAGGAGTTGTACAGTTTGACAGCTAAGGAAGAGGGGCAAGGGACAGGCATGAGGGCGTAGAGGCTGGAAAGGGCGAGATAAAGAAATCCAAGGAAGCCCTGAAGCCCGAGGCGCCATATTGAATGAGGAGGTGTGAGAGGACAGGGCCACAGGGCCCCTGACCAGAAGGCACGGGCTCAGGGTCCACAGTAGAGCTCCTGGCAATGTTGAATGGCTTCTCCTTCGCACAGGTCCTGGCTTCACGGAAACAAGATGGGCTTTCGCGAATCAGGCTCTGAGAAGTCACCCCAAGCAGCAGAAGTTGATCTTGAGATGAAGTAATGTCTACCAGGCCCTCTGGGAGAATTTCAAGGCAGACAGTGGGCAGCCCCTGGGGCCCTAACATTGCCTGATCCTTCTGCCCGCTGAGATCAGGACCCCAGTCAGGTGTTGCCTCTGGAGGGCAGGGAAGACGCTTGAGGCCATGAAGAAGCAGACTCAACATCATACAGCAGAAGGTGAGAGTTGGTGGGTCTGGAGAGACACCGTGGTGGGGGAAGCGAGCTGGGGTTCTGCAAGAGCACCTCAGTGACCACAGGGGCACCCAGGGGCTCCTTCCTCCCTGCGGGGCCTGGAGTCGCTGCTCTGGAAGCGACTGTGGGCGGCCCGGCGCCTCACAGCTGCTGCTGCTCCTGTCCCCGGGGCTGCCTTCTTGAGCTACTGACTGGCTCCGAGGAAGAGGACAAGCCCCAAATGCTGGTGAGGTGGGCAACTTTATCCCCCTGAAATGCTGGCTTGTTTCCAGAGAACAGCATCTGTTCTCTTTCTTGAAAAGGGGAAGGCAGTCGTCCACACCTGTGTCAGACGCTGTCCTACTCACTTCATAATGAACGGTTCCTGCGTTTGTGTGTTTGACTGTCTTTGTTGAAATATATATCCAAGATTAATATGAAGAGTTCAGGAGACTTTTCAATGTGAGGAGTATTTTTGAAAAACAGATTATTAAAAATTAAAAAAAATTTTTTTAAATGTTTGTTTATTTTTGAGACAGTGAGAGACAGAGTGCAAGCAGAGGAGGGCAGACAGAGGGAGACACAGAATCCGAAGCAGCCTCCAGGCCCTGAGCGTCAGCACAGAGCCCGACGTGGGGCTCGAACTCAAGAACCATGAGATCATGACTTGAGCTGAAGTCGGACACTTGACCCACTGAGCCAGTCAGGAGCCCCCAGATTATTAAAAATTTTAAGTGTACTACAAAGTTTGACTCTGTATCCACCCTATCTAATGATATTGTGCACTAGAACTCTTTTTACCTTGTTATCACTGAAATTTTGGAACATACAGAGGATTAAGGAGCAAAGTCATAATAAGCCCTCAGATCCCATCGTACCGCTTCAATAGTGGCCAATCTTATGCCATTCCTACCCCTCACTTCCCTTACTGGATTATTTTAGACAAGTCTTAGACATGATAACATTTCCTCTATAATTCTTAAAAAAATTTTTTTTAAATGTTCTATTTGGGGCGCCTGGGTGGCTCAGTTGGTTAAGCCTCTAACTCTGGCTCAGGTCATGATCTCAAGGTTCATGAGTTCGAGCCCCGCGTTGGGCTCTGTGCTGACAGCTCAGAGCTTGGAGCCTGCTTCAGATTCTGTGTCTCCCTCTCTCTCTGCCCCTCCCCTGCTTGCCCTCTGTCTCTCATTCTCTCTCAAAAATAATAAACACTAAAAAAATTTTAAAAAGTAAATGTTTTATTTATTCTTAAGAGAGAGAGAGAGAGAGAGAGATACAGAGCATGAGCAGGGGAGGGAGAGAGCAAGAGAGGGACACAGAATCTGAAGCAGGCCCCAGGCTTCGAGCTGTCAGCACAGAGCCTGATGTGGGGCTCAAACTCATGAGCTGTGAGATTATGACCTGAACCAAAGTTGGATGCTCAACTGACTGAGCTCCCATAATTCTTAATAATAAATGTAAAAGGGTAGTGGTGGTGGTAATACAATTTATTTCAAAAGGAGAAAGTCTGGCCTGGAACGGTGTGGGATTCTTACGGGTCCACACTTCTCTACTGCTTGGCAGAGCCAGGGTTTAAACCCTGTTTTCCTTGACTCTCAAGCTCCTGAATCCTCTAATGTGTTGAATAGCCTTCTTGCTGCTACATAAATCCCCATCTAAAAATGTGGGAGCATATTTTCCAACCCTTGGGAATGGGTCTGTATTATTTGATGAATGATGCATATAGAATGCTGTCATAAGCAGTATTCTGGGAAAGAAGCAATTTAAATATTAGGAAAGCATGAACTCTCTCACCCAACCAGGTTAAGGTGTTTTTTGTTTGTTTTAAATTTGATTGAAGTGTAATAGACAGGTAACAAAGTGTGTAGGTCAAAAATGTACTCAGGGCGCCTCAGTGGCCCAGTCGGTTGAGCATCTGACATGGGCTCAGGTCATGATCTCACGGTTTGTGAGTTCAAACCCCACTTCAGGCTCTCCACTGTCAGCCCAGAGCCTGCCTCAGACCTGCTGCCCCCTCTTCTGCCCCTCCCCTGTTTGCTCTCTCTCTCTCCCTCTCAAAAACAAATAAACATTAAAAAAATATACTCCAACTTTCAGAAAGCGAACACAACCACGTAACCAGATCAAGACACCGAACACTGCAACTTGTGAGCGTTATGTGCATGTAAGCCTTCTAGTCTTTCAGCCTCTACTCCCCTGAGGATAACTCTATCCTGACCTCTAATATCACAGATTACGTTTCCTATTTTGTTTTTAATGAATGTCATCACATAGTCTGTACTCTTTCGTGTTTGGCTTCTTTTATTCAACATTGTGTCTGGGATTCATTTGTGGTAACATTTGTACCTCATTTTTCACTGCGGTTTGTGTTTATATGCAAAGGCCCCAACTAGCCTGGGTATTCTGTTTAAAAAAAAATTTTTTTTAATGTTTATTTATTTTTGAGAGAGAGAGAGACAGAGCGTGATTGCAGCAGGCTCCAGGCTCTGAGCTGTCAGCACAGAGCCCGATGCAGGACTTGAGCTCATGGACAGTGAGATCATGACCTGAGCTGAAGTCTGACGCATAACCAGTTGAGCCATGCAGGCGCTCCAGGATTTTATTTTAAAATAGCAGGCAAAGACAGATTTTACAGATCCCACTTAGTAACCTACATCCCTCAAAAATTCTCATTGTGGACCCCGTCTGTTCATTCCTCCTTTTCTCTGTGGTTGAAGACTGTTCCGTTTTCTCCTGTAAACCTTTGCCATCCCCCGATGCCCAGCACAAGCCCGGTGCACATGTGCGTCTTTCCTTCTCCAGACCATACCCCCTGCTTCCACCTCAGAATTCCTCCAGAATGATCCTCAAGGTCACTTTCCCGAGTGCTGCCTGAGGCTTGCAGATCGACTCACAGATCATTTCTCCAATGAAATCCCAAAGGTCCGAGGGCCAGAAGTGCTAGCTGTGCTAGCACTAGAAGAGCACTAGCTGTGCTCCCCTCAGATTTTAACACAGAGCTAGGAGTGCCTGGAAGAACTTTATATGGAGAACCGTGTACTTTTAGAGAAGTGGGTCAATGTCTCGCTTATCTGGGCTCTTCAGGGCCATCAGATATACTCCTCACACTGGGAAAACGGATGGTGACTTGCTGTCTATTAACATCTATTTATAGGTGCCGGTTATACTCCAGGATGTGGCTGTGGCCTTCACAGATTCGAATGGAAAGGACTGACCTCTGAGCAGAGGAACCTATACAAAGAAGTGATACCGGAGAATTACAGGAATCTGCTCCCATTGGGTGAGGCTACGTTCTTTCCTTCATTAATATTGTAGAGGTTTAGGGCACCTGGGTGGCTCAGTCAGGTGGGCGTCGGACTTCAGCTCATGTCATACTCTCACTGTTCCTGAGTTCCAGCCCTGCATCAGGCTCTGTGCCGACAGCTCAGAGAGCCTGGAGCCTGCTTCAGATTCTGTGTCTTCCTCTTTCTCTGTCCCTCCCCACTTGGCGCTCTGTCTCTCTCTCTCTCTCAAAATATGAATAAACATTAAAAACATTTAATTAAAAAAATACTGTAGAGATTTATTGGCTACCTTCTATGTGCCAGAAAACATTCTAGACACTTAGAACACGTAAGTGATGGAATAGTCTCCCCTACCATTCAAGACATGGGGCTTGAATTCACTGACCACGAGATCATGACCTGAGCCAAAGTCAGATGCCCAATCAACTGAGCCACCCAGGTGCCCCGACAAACACTTGCAGTTAGGACATTCTTCTGGATCAGGAGTTGGCCAGCTTTTACTGTAAAGGGCCACAGAGTAACTGTGTTAGGTTTTGTGGGCTGTATGGCCTCTCGGTAGGGGCTTCCGAGTCTGCCTTTGCAGTGTTAAATTGCCACAGACAACATATAAATGAATGAGTGAGGCTGTGTTCCAATAAGACTTTATGTGTGGATCCTGGATTTTGAATTTCATGTAATTTTTAGGTATCATGAAATATTATTATTCTTTTGACTTTTCCCCAACTATTTAAAAATTTAAAAACCAGGGGTGCCTGGGTGGCTTAGTTGGTTAAGTGTCCGACTTCCGCTTAGGTCATGATCTCACGGTTCGTGGGTTCGAGCCCCGCGTCGGGCTCTGTGCTGACTGCCAGCTCAGAGCCTGGAGCCTATTTCAGAGTCTGTATCTCCCTCTCTCTCTGACCCTCCCCGGCTCACGCCGTCTCTCTCTCTCTCCTAGAAATAAATAAAAATATTTTAAAAAAATAAAAATTTAAAAACCATTCTTAGTTTGTAGACTTTCCAGAAAGAGAGCCAGGTTTAGCGGGGTCTTGAACTCGTGAACCACGAGACATGACCTGAGCCAAAGTTGGCCACTTAACTGATGGAGCCACCGGGGTGACCCAGACCAAGTGGCTTATTATGTGTATCAGTCTTGTTTCATAATAAGAAAACTCATGGAGGCGATTCCCACAGAGGTAACAGAGACTGTTGCATCCAAGCAGAACTGAACTGTGGACATTATGCATCACTGTGAGTGTCGGTGGCTTATTTGGTAGAAAGGAAAGGCCAAGGGTAATGGAAGCCATTTATAGCACACGGCGCCTACTTTAAAGGTTCCTAGTCTCACATGTAGAGATGATTTTGTCAGACTTTGTGGATTGCAATAGAAAATGGAACGTGTGGAAATGGAATGTAAAGGAATTATCAGTGAGAAACAAATTGTGCTGTACATGTATTATTAATTACAGTAAGATGCTGTGTCTGAGGATAAGGTGAAGCAGCCCAGTGGCCCCCTTAGGGCTTCTCTAACCAAAAACTCTCTTCAGCAGAACCAAAGGTGGAAATCTACTCCTGTGCCTCCTGCCTTCGAGCCTTCTCCCTCTGCCGACGTGTGCTTCCCATCTTCCTGGGCTTCCGTGACGTCAGCCCCCATCAGACACCACACTCACGGGAGAATCCTTGTTTCCAGGGAGTGTGGGCAAGGCTTTAGCCATAAGTCAAATCTTATCAGACACCAGAGGGTACACTGAGGCGAGAAGCCTTCTGTGTGCGGGCATCCTGGGCGGGACTTCGTTAACCAGTCAGACCTCATCCTGCACTGGAGAGACAGACGGGGAGGCATCCCTAGCTGTGCGTGGAGTGTGAACAAAGCTTCCGAGACACGTCGGTCCTCAACAGGCTTCAAGGACACATTCAGGAGAGGAGCCTTCTCTGTGCAGAGCGTAGGCAACTCAGCAGCCAGAAGTCAACCCTCACTGAACAAAAAGGATGCACGTAGGTGGGAGGTGCTGTGTGTGCAGGACTGTGGGTGGGGCTTCAGCAATAAATCAGTATTCACTGAACATCCAGTGGCAGACTTGGGGAAAGTGTCACATGTTCAGAGAGCACTGGCGGACCTTCGCAAGAGAGCAGGCAGGTAGGCACAAGGTAGCACCCTCAGGGAGGAGCCGTGCGCTCGCAGGGGGGGTGGGTCAGACTCTCGTGCTCAGTCAGCCTTCTTCACACACCGTAAGGGTAATCTGTGCATGGGGATCCTTGGAGCTCCGTCCAGATAACTCATTCAGGGCCGGCACCCACCCCTGCCTCTCCCTCCTGGGGGGGCGGGGAGCTTCTGGCCAGTGACCGACTGATATGGGGAGACAGAACTCCAATGCTCGCCTCAGCAGGGGCGACGCCAGAGGGTCATCTCAGATCCAGCGTCGGACTGAATGATTTGGTTGCAAACATGTTGTAGGTCCTCTTCCTCTGCCCAGTCCCGCCCTCATTCCCCAATAAACCACTCAACCCCCCCCCCCCCGCCCCCCGTTTTATGGCCTCTCCAGGGAATCCATGCGGAGACATCCTAAGTGTGCGAGGAGTGTGGACGAGGCTTTGGCCATAAGTCATCCCTCAATAAACCGCAGGGTTCACAGAAGAGCAGCTCTGTGTGTGCGGGCGGATGAGCAAAGACTTAGGAAAAGCAAGCCTCCAGATCCAACAGGAAATGGCTTGTTTGGGAGAAGCTTTCCGTGGGCAAGGAGGAAAGGTGTGAGAGGCTTTAGCAGGACGTGCTGCCCCATCCCGCACCAGAGGACAGGCTCCAGGAGGGCTCGTGGGTGGAGCTTTATCCTGATGTCTCTTCAGAGCCTCACAAGGATGGAGACTGGCCGCCGAGGACCATTACGTCATTCACCTCTGAGGGGCTTTCAGAAGTCTGGAGGAGAGGGAAGATGGCGCTCTCTCGACTACAGAGGCCTGGGTTTTCCATCCTTTGTGAGCAGATGAAATAAAAACGTAGAGGGCTTTGTTTGAGTAACCCAAGCATGGTCTAGTTTAATCTTCATACACCGATTCTTTCCCAGTTCCTCTTATCCTTTTGTTCTACTAAAACCTTTGACGAGCTCAGGCTGTGTACCTTAGTCTCTCAGCAATCTGGAAAGGAATTCAAATCCACAGCTGGATGTCCTGCATGAATTCAACCCTTGGGAAAAAAGAAGTCCCAAATCAATCTAATAGATTTATAGGGCACTCTGAGCCTTTGCATGGGGAGGACCATCTAGGTTCTGGAGACATGCCAGCTGAAGGGAGGGTCCTCCCAGGTCTCTGCGAGGGGGAGCGGGTTGCCTCTTCTCCTAACTGAGCTCCCTCTGGTTTCTGTGAAAGCTCCTTTCTCAGGAGTGTTCCCTTCCTTCCTTCTTTCTAGTCTCTCTTCAGGTCTCTGTTGAATCCTTCTCTACCTCTACTGTTCCTTAATGGTCTGTTTATGTCCTCCAGTTACGGGACCCTTTAGCCACATTCCCTATGTGGCCTTCCAGATTCCAGGGTCAGGTTCCTTGACCACACCCAACCTGTTCTCCAGCCATGAATCATTGCTTTGGGCTGCTTAGCTATTCCCCATGTCAGTTCATATGTCAAAAGACCCCTACACACGCCTCTAATAGCACGTCCACACAGCCCTCCATCCTCAGATCCAGGCCTGCTAGTGACCCCCCACCATCAGCCCTCTAATCACTGGTCAAAGACAGCCTCGTCACATACCTGCCCTAGTTTTTCAGCAATGAGATTCATAGCATAATCTTTTTCCTAATGGAAATGTACGATAATACCATGCCATGCCTTTTATTTTCTCCTAAGAGGCATGATATGTATAAGGGATAAAAATCCATGTTCTCCTTACATAAAGATTCTTTTTGTCTAGCCCTGTACCCTATTCACTAATTTCAGTCTAGAATTGTTTTGGAGAATAGCCAAACACTCACTTGCTCTTTAATTAAAAAGAAGTTTGGGACATGTTGCAAAATGACATTCTAGAATAAAAAAAAAAAACCAAAAACCAGATTCCTAGAGTTCCATCCACCATTGTTATAGAAAGGATAAAAGCACTTCTTCCCAGGCTGAGTGTTGGGGCAACGGCTGAGGATTGGAAGATCTCGCGAAGTTGGGTTACACACAGGGAAGGATTCGCCCTGCTGATATAGGCCACCAGGACAGTCCCAGCTTACCCTGCTGACCAGGGTCTGAGGCAGAGCTGGCTTCCTAGAGCCCTTACCACTGCCACTCATCAGTTCCCTTTTTTCCAACTTCTCACTTCCTCTGGGAACTAGAAAGCCCCTGGACTAGTACAGTTTTCTCCCATACTACGTTCCTATAGAACACAGCTCTCTCCAGCTGATTGGCTACCATATCTTCTCTGGCTCTCCACTCAGGCAGTGGTGGCTTAATTGAGAGCCCAAACAGCACAGGTCTGTGTCCCAGTCCAGGTCACTTCCTCTGTACCCTCCATTCAGCCCCACGGGCACACACCTGAGGGCCCCACTGCGCTGGTTATCTGACAGGCAGATCACCTGACCTTCCTCCTGTGCAGGTGGTTGCTAGTCCCCAGCCCCCCTCCTCCGCTCCATGTGGATGGGTGCCAAGGCCCCAGCAGCCACCTTGAGCTGCCCAGCTCAAGCTGTGCACTAGGTGCTTGCTATTCTCTGGCCTCCCTTTCCAACAGCACCTATAGCAGTGCCTTGACCTCCTCTGCTCACCAGCTCATCAGCCTCCGCCCACTTGTACCCCAGAGGTTTGTTTGCTGCAGCCCTTCAGATACAGACACTGTGTGGCCTGTGTTTTGTGTCAAATCACCCTGGCTCTCTGTGCACAGCCAACTCCCTGTGTGCCCCCGCCTACCAGCTTTGCTCTCCTGGTGACTGTACAATACTAGCTGATCTGACCCTTAACAGCAAAAGGTTGCTCGTCCCTGTTCTAGACTGAACCTTAAGAACACTTTACCAAACAAAGGCCAAGTGGATTCATGACCTCCTTGTCCTTGTTCATGGAAATTGACAAGCCAATGGTGGCTAGGACTGGCATGGTAGCAGTGGAGCAAGTGACAACAGTCAGATTCAAGACATTTTGTAGATGAGGTCCGTGGGACTTGCTGATGGATTGATTATGAGGTGGGAAAGAAATAGAGGAATCAAGGATGCTTCCAAGTTGGTAATTTTGCTTTCTGTTTTTTAACTTGAGAAACTCCTGAGGTGGGGAACACTGGTAAGAAATGGGTTTGGGAAGAAAAGTGAATACAACAGTCAAGAATCCAATTTTCACCCTGTTAAATTTAGGACACCTATTAGACATCCAGATTAAGCAGGCAGTGGATGTAAAAGGCCAAGAGTTAAACAAAGAACCCAGGGTTAGAGGAATAAATTTGAAATTCCTAAGCATTTAGGTAGTATTCAAAGGTCATAGGACTGGATGGGATTGATTAATTGACTCATTCATTGATCCAAATATGTTTTTTTTAATTTATTTCCGAGAGAGAAAGAGAGCGAGAGAGAGAGAGCGAGAGAGAGAGCGAGAGAGAGCGAGAGAGCAGGGGAGGGTCAGAGAGAGAGGGAGACACAGAATCTGAAACAGGCTCCAGGCTCAGAGCTAGCTGTCAGCACAGAGCCCGACGTGGGGCTCGAACCCACAAACGGTGAGATCATGACCTGATCTGAAGTTGGACGCTTAACCGGCTGAGTCACCCAGGCGCCCCATCCAAATAGGTTTTGAGCCCTTGTTTTGTGCCAAGCAGTGTTCTAAGCATTGCAGTAACGAAAAATACACAAAGGAAAATCTATACCCTCAGAATATCCGTTCTAATGAGGAGGAATAATAAAATAACAAATATATAGTATATTAGGAATCGATGTTAAGGAGAAAGGTAAAGCAGGGATGGGTGGGAAAGGCTACGGTTTTCATCAGGATGGCCAGGGAGTCCTCAGTGGGGAAATGTTATATGAGCTTAAGTCTTGAAGGAAGTGAGGGCATGAGTCGTGCACATTTATCTGGACGACTAGCATTCCAGGCAGAGGCAGCAGCAAATGCAAGCGCGCTAAGGCAGGAACGCGTCCAGCAAGTTAAGAGAAAAGCAAGGACAGTATGGCTTCAGGAGAGCCAAGGGAGAGTGGTGGGAGATGAGGATCGAGACAAAATGGGCCAGGGCGGCGTGGAGGACAGGAAGGAAGGTGAGGAGGAGCATCTAAGGAACGGACTGAAACTAGGAAGGCGACCAAGCATCTCCGAGTTCAGTTTGACGTTAGCCCCGCCCCGAGCCCCGCCCCGAGCCCCGCCCCGAGCCCCGCCCCGAGCCCCGCCCCGAGCCCCCGAGGGCTCCTGGCTCACTGCTCCGCCTTTAGGCCGGAACTCGCGAGCCTGCGCCGGGGCCGGAAGTAGCTTTCACCCGACCCCATTTTATCCGAGGCTGCACTTCCGGTAGTGGCGGCGGGAAGTGGATTACTGGCGGGCGTCTAGGCCTCTGCCGAGGAGAATCCGGCGGGAATCGGAGCCATCAGAACCGCCACCATGGTGAGGAGGCGCAGGCCGGAGGCGCGGGGACTTCCGAGTCTGTTGTGGGGTGGGGGCCGCGGCTGATCGGGAGGAGGGCATGGGTTGGCCGTTCATGGCGGTGAAGGCCCGGGCCGCGGCCGCCCCGTCGGGGCAGGGGAGACCCGGACCTTGGCCGTTCGGCAGGGTGGGGGAGGGGAAGGCTGGAAATGAGGAACGGAGGCCTGAGGCGCTCGGTGGTGGCGAGGATAGAACCCCGGCCCTCCACGCCGATGTAGCCACAGTGTTTGGGATCCTGCAGACGAAGTAAACTTTTGTAGAATAAATGGGGTTTCGGAGCAGGCGTTAGAGCCTGCTCTAATGGACTGGGGAAGACCCGGTGAGAGACTCAGACTTGTGAAACGGGGTGAGGGTCTGAGGACTTGAGGCCAAATCTAGAGAGTGCTTGGATCTGGGAGGAGGGATCGGGAGGGCGAACGGGAATGTTTGGGGTGAAAGAATTCAGCTCATTTGCTCTGCGTGTCTGTGTGTTTTGCGTATGTCTGAC